TTTTCTGCCTTTCCTGGAACACCTGCTATTTTAATATTGTTGTGTTTCTTGTTGTCCCACAGCTCCCTTAAGCTGTCCTCCTGTTTTTTAATTGTTTTTTCTTTTCAGTTCTTTGATTGAGTAAATTTTTTATACCCTGTCTTCTAATTCACTGATTTAACATACCTCCGCACGCTTCCCATTGGCTAATCAGGGCGATATGCAAATTAACTTCCAACCAAAATGGCAGCCGACAGCCAGGCAGCTGAAGCAAACAGGAGGTTCCCTAATCTGCTCTGTATTCCTTGCATTGTGTTTATTTGTGCTATATCATTCTTTATTTCTGTTTTCATAGTTACTATATCTTTTGTCATGCTGTTAAGCATCTTTACCATCATTACACTTACCTCTGTTTCAGATAAATTTCTTATATCTGCTTCATTTATCTCTTCTGCTGGAGAATTCTTTTGTTCTTTCATTTGGGGGTTCTTTGTCTCCTCATTTTGGCTGCCTGTTTGGATTGTGATTATGTATTAGGTAGATCCTCTACGTCTCTTAATCTCTCATGTAGGATAGTTTCAAACACTGTTTCTGACTAATTAGGTCAGGCAAAGACTCAAAGCCTCCAGAGTATGCCTCTGCCTACAGACTGATAGGATTCCTCTTGTCTTGTCCTCAGGTGTGGTGAGAGATTTTTTCAGCAGGTGGGGCAGTTGCTTCTGCCTGGAGGCTCTTTGTTATTTTTAATATCTTAGGTGGCCCCAGGAAAAAGTGTTTTCCCATAGGGTGGGTCAACTGTCTTCCCCCCAGGTAAAGCAAATGTCTGTGTGGCAAAGGTGTCCTCCGCTGCATGAGGGAATAACTCCGCACAGTTTCCTGTCTGCATTCTGAGCGCTAACCTCCAAGTCCCCAATCCTGGCTTCTGCTCACACAGCTCAAGTCCACTCTGCCCTCCCTCTGCCAAAGTACAAGGTGGGTGGCTGCACAGGGAATTTGAGTGTTGGCCCTTTAAGAGGGTGCCTGATTTTCCAGCCATCTCTCCCCGGCAGACAGCAACCCTCCTGCTTTTCACAGCTAGATGTTTATGGGGGTACCCTTCTCAGGTCTGGTGCTCTCTGCTGGAATACTCAGTGTGGGGATTAGATCCCAGAGTTCTCAGTGCCCCCTCCCCCCCGCCAGCTGAGATATCTCTCTGGAACTAATTTCTTATATCTGCTTCATTTATCTCTTCTGCTGGAGAATTCTTTTGTTCTTTCATTTGGGGGTTCTTTGTCTCCTCATTTTGGCTGCCTGTTTGGATTGTGATTATGTATTAGGTAGATCCTCTACGTCTCTTAATCTCTCATGTAGGATAGTTTCAAACACTGTTTCTGACTAATTAGGTCAGGCAAAGACTCAAAGCCTCCAGAGTATGCCTCTGCCTACAGACTGATAGGATTCCTCTTGTCTTGTCCTCAGGTGTGGTGAGAGATTTTTTCAGCAGGTGGGGCAGTTGCTTCTGCCTGGAGGCTCTTTGTTATTTTTAATATCTTAGGTGGCCCCAGGACAAAGTGTTTTCCAATAGGGTGGGTCAACTGTCTTCCCCCCAGGTAAAGCAAATGTCTGTGTGGGAAAGGTGTCCTCCGCTGCATGAGGGAATAACTCCGCACAGTTTCCTGTCTGCATTCTGAGCGCTAACCTCCAAGTCCCCAATCCTGGCTTCTGCTCACACAGCTCTAGTCCACTCTGCCCTCCCTCTGCCAAAGTACAAGGTGGGTGGCTGCACAGGGAATTTGAGGTGTGAAGGGGCTGACGAGGCGCCCACTGAAAGCAGAGGGTGCCTGATTTTCCAGCCATCTCTCCCTGGCAGACAGCAACCCTCCTGCTTTTCACAGCTAGATGTTATTTGGGTAGGTACCCTTCTCAGTTCTGGTGCTCTCTTCTGGGGGGCCCAGCTTGGGGATTAGTTCCCAGAGTCCTCTGTGGCAACCCCTCCATAGCTGAGATATCTCTTCGGGACTTCAGCTGCTTTCAGTGGGCGCCTGGTCAGCCCCTTCACACCTCAGCCGCTCCTACCTATCTATGCTGCCTCCGCTTTCCATCCTTGGGGATCAGGTTTCTCTCCTGCTAGTCTTCTGTTAACTATTCAGGGTGTTTTTTGTGTGTGTTTCAGTTGTAATTCCAGTTTGTTCCTGGGAGCATGTCCATGCAGCATTCACTCACTCTGCTGCCATTTTTAACCTCAATATTCTCCATTTTAGTTGTATTTCCAGTCTTGCTGGGACAAGATGCACCACAAGTTTGCCTAATTGGCTGCCATTTTCTTGAAAGCCTTACTCTTTAAATGCACTGTTAGATTTACAGAATGTGGGAGGTATATGTGGACACTAAAGTTATTGATAATCTGTTCTTCTATGTGCTTCAGTCACCTGATGTCACTTCCTTTGAACTTTATTTTCATTTGGTGCAGGTGTTCTCTGCCAGATTCTTGAACTATAGATTTAATATTTTTTCTCTATCTTTAATAAGGGTCTTGGACAAATTATTTTTAAATATATTTTTATTGATTTTGGAGAGGAAGAGATTGGGAGGGAGAGATAGAAACATCAATGATGAGAGAGAATCACCAATTGACTGCCTCCTGCACATCCCACACTGGGGATCAAGCCCACAACTCAATCATATGCCTTGACCTGGAATTGAACCGTGACTTCCTGGTGTATAGATCAACACTCAACCTCTGAGCCATACCAGCCGGGCTGGAAAAATTTTTGAGAGTTACACATAAGCAATCACATTTCATCTGGAACCTTTTTCTCTTTTCAGTTTCTCTTTATTTGTAGGTTGCTTTGAGAAATAAAGGCCTTTTTGTTGTTATTGTTCACTGGCAATACTACCTTTGCAAATAGAGGCTTTTATCAGTGAGGCCTCAAACCTGTAAATGTTTATTGTATTCAACAAACATCACAAACACTCTCTTCTTTAATGCTACATTGTATTTTCATAAAAGTTTATAAGAATCAAGTGGATGTTCAAGAGTATTAAATTTATAAAATACAAATCAGCACAAGAGATAAAAATTATCCAAGAAATAAAAGGTGCCCCAGCCAGTGTACACCAGTGGTTTGGAGTGTCCTGCCATGCACAGGTATGACCAAGGTTTGATTCCCAACCCATGTAAGGGTGTGTGCCGGAAGCAACCAATCAATGTCTCTCTCTCTCTCTCTCTCTCTCTCTCTCTCTCTCTCTCTCTTTCTCTTCCTCTCCCCCTCCCTTCCACTCTCTCTAAACTCAACGGAAAATTATCCTCAGGTGAAGATTAAAACAAAAATAGTAATTAATATGAAAGAATAGCTCTACCTTAGTTTACATCATTGTGTGTTTACCTCTCTTTTGTGTTTGTAAAATGCAAAGACTCATCCATGAAGAGATTTGTGAGATTAACACAATTGGAATTAATCTTGATTTTATTTCAGGCTAATTTTCTTGACATGAAAATGTATCATTTGTGTCACATTTAATATGTATATCATTTCCATTGTTATGTCTTGTCTTTTTGCAGAAAATCTTAACATTATCTGAGCTCTTTCTTACCTTCTTGTTTCTATAGTAACAACACTGAACGTGATGATGGCTGCATTTGTACATTGTTTTCATCCAAGCTCCACCATTTGCTGGATGGTTTACAAAATATTCTGTTACAAAAAGAAGAATATTTTCCTTGTTCTCTGATTTGTCATGAGATTTATTAATTTACATATATATATAAAATGGTTAGAATAATATCTAGTACACAGTTATCATTAAAGAAGGATTGTGATTGCTAGGCTTACTAATGTATGAGCTCTGTAAATTCAGTAAAATACTTCACTCAAAGTCCTGCATATGAATTTCTTTCCTGTATTTTCTTTCTCTGTCCTGTCTAAAGGTGTGGCACATGCAGCAGACTCATTGGTGTCCATAGTTTCAAGTGAGCTGGAAACTCAGGACCCACCCCAGCATTCCTGAATCAGGGTCTGAATTCTGTGGATCCCCAGTTCCTTGTTTTGCAATTTGATATTTTAGAAGTACTTTGGTGTGCTCATTCAGAATGACTTCTCTACCTAAGAACTATATACACTTGATCCTCTATGATTCAAATATAGCACTCAAAAATGAATATGCCTGTGTTGATGCGTTTATGTTTAAAATTTCTCTTCCAGAAAAGTAAGCCTCTACAGTGGTTTTGTAAATGATATGTCATCCTCCTTTCTCAAAATACACTGGAGAAGGTCAAAATGATCTTATTGGGTAATTCAGGGTGCTCTTAGGTCAAAACCAGTTCTGTTCACTCTGTGTTCTTATTGGGTCACATTGTGACCTCTGTCCATGTTTACTTGAGTAATGTTTTAATTTTTGTTTTGCTTTGTATCTTTCAATTTCAGGGTCAGTTGACCTTCAGTGATGTGGCCATAGAATTCTCTCAGGAGGAGTGGGCGTGCCTGGACCCAGCTCAGCGGAAACTGTTCAGGGACGTGATGTTGCAGAACTACAGGAACCTGGTATTCCTGGGTGAGGACCACTTCCTACCAGAATTTCTCCTCCACCCGCAGGGTTTTGTTTTCTTCATTAGTACAGTGTCAGTGGTGAGCTTCTGCTTTGTATGAGAGTTTCAGATCTGTGTTCCCAAGGAAAGCAATTGGGGTTTTGCTGGTGCACAACAGAAAGGCTTCCTGATGTATATGGAAGTGGAACTCAGGATTTGGAAACTAAATGTCTCTGGTATAATAAAGGTGCTGTCAGAAAATAAAATTTTGGGAAATAATTTTCTAAAATATTCTGATATTCTACAATGTCCTATCTTCTTACTTGAACCCAGGGCTGGATTGGAAATTGGAAAATCTCCATTAAAATCTCATGTTCCTTTTTTTTTTTTAAAATAAACAGGTCTTGTTATGTCTAAGCCAGACCTGGTCACCTTTTTGGAGCACATGATGGAGCCCTGGGAGTTGAAGAGAAAAGAAACAATATCCAGCCAGCCAGGTAGGGGGGAATGAAGGTAGCAGACAACCCAGGTGAGAGGTCAAAAGTCACAGAGGAAGGCAAGCTTTAAAATATGTTTTGGGAAGATTGGCTTCAATGGGAAATGATTTTGGAGAGGGTCAGGTTTACTTCTATTTCTGTCTTCAAGGGACAGAGCCTCTTCAACATTTACTCTCTGGCATCATGTAAGGGTTCTCCTTGTGCTCCTTTGATCTGCCATCACATTTGCAGTGAGAGCCAAAGACCTGCCCTAGTAGTGTGAGGGTGGCATGACCTGGCTACTCTTGCATTTCTTGCGGACGCTGAGAAACTGCACATTGGTGAGGAATGTTATGTTAAACCAATTCCCTTTTCTGCTTCATGTAAGTAGCTTGTTAAGAAGTGGTTGAGATGCTGGAATTTGGTTCCCACATCCCAGGAGCGCTGGGAATAGGTGGCCAAGCTGTCCTATTATTCCTTCTGCTTGACCAAGTCTGTTGCTGATGTTTCTATTGTATATTTAAATACAGGTACTGAGTACTTCAACTTCCAATATTTGTTTGGTTCTTTCTTACACTTTCTGCCTTTGTATTTTTTTTCATGCATAGTTTTAATGGTAATTTAGTTTTTTGTCATGCATAGTTTTGATGGTAATTTAGGTTTCTGTGTTTTTTCTTCTATGTTCAGACTGATCCTCTTTAAGATGGTTGTTTTGAATTCTTTGTCAGGTAATTAACAGATTGCCATTAAGTTAGGACCAACGCTTGGAGACTTACTTTGTGCCTCTGGTTGGACTGTTTCTCTGTTTTTTCATAAGCCTTGTGATTTTTTGTTACTATGTAAGCCCATTAGAAGCAGGCGTCATCCCTTTCTTTATGAGCTTCCTTTGTACAAGAGAACACAAGTAACAATCAGCTATGGTAGGTTTTTAATGGCCTGTCAAACCTATTCTGGAAAGTGTAATTGGTGTGTGTGTGTGTGTGTGTGTGTGTGTGTTTAATATTTTATTTACACTTGACATCAATATTACATGTGTCTTAGGTGGACACCCCAGTAATTAAACATTATATAGTTTTGGGGCTGGGGCCACTTAGCAAGAGGTACAAGACACACTGAGGCCAGATGCTGATTCTTTGAGACATTGTAGTAAAGACTGAAGCATAAGCTTATTCAGGCTGTTTCCATGGAAAACCACTTGAAACAGATTGGGCGGGCCTGCAAGTTCATGGGGCAGGGTCTTAGGAAATCTTCAGGGTGGATGAAAAGTCTGAGCCAGGTTGATACTCAGCTATGGAGCCTGTCTGCCCGCTCTGTGCGTGAAGGGTTTTAGAAAAGGAAGAATGACTTCTCCCAAGACTTATGTCTGGGAAAAAGCTCCTTCTTCAGGCCTCATCCTTAAGCCAGATATTGTTGTTCTTCCCTGTGTGTCCCGGTGCCTTTCACACTGCTGCCCAGTTCTGGAGCTCAGAGGGCATGAGTCTGAGTAAGTCAGAGCATGAGCCCATTAAAGGGAACTGCCGCAGTGGTCGGCAAACTGTGGCTCGCGAGCCACATGTGGCTCTTTGGCCCTTTGGGTGTGGCTCTTCCACAAAATACCGTGTTTGCACATGGGCCACGAAATTTCAATCGCACTGTACGTGCACGCCTGCACGTGGTATTTTGTGATGCATGTGGTATTTTGTGGTATTTTGTGGAAGAGCCACACTCAAGGGGCCAAAGAGCCGCATGTGGCTTACGAGCCGCAGTTTGCCGACCACGGGCCTGAGACTCCATCAGCTCTCCATCTCACTCAGTCACAAGCCTCCCTAGTTTTTACAGCCATAGTAATGGGGACATTTCTTCTTGGCATTGGAACCCTGGGCTGGCGGGCCTTCTGTGGGACTGGGACCCTTCACTCTTCACCTCTGCAGCTGAAATACTTCTTGTGATTTTCATCCATCTTCTGGTCCCAGCCCGTTCTGTGACTTTGCACCTGATACCAGTCTGTCTGAGGCTTCTTCTTTATGTTTTTAGTTGTAGAACTTTCATTCAGCTAGGTTTCTGGACATTCTGAACAATGGTTTTCCGGTAGTTTAGTTGTTTTATTTAGTGTGGCTGTGGGAGGATGCCAGTGCTGCAATTACATACACCACCATCTTGACCAGAAGCCTGCATGTGTGAGTTTTGTGTAACTTCCCAGTTTAAAACATATTTTGCTTTTATTTAGAGCACATGATATTCCCAATCCTGATGTCTTTCTTCAGCACAACAGTCTCTTTGGTGCTTGAATAATTACTTTCTTTCTTAGCAGCCACTACAATGTGTTCATGGTAAATTGCCATTTCCTTAGCAATCTGTGTCATTTAAAACAGAAGCAAGTTCCACAGGTAGTTGCAAAAAATCCAGACCATTCTGAGTTGGACCTACAGTGCACGAAGAAACTGAGGCTGGGGAGGTATCCCACAGTCATTGTGTAGTGTGCCAGGAAGGGTGACCAGGTATTGGGAGCAAATACAAGCAACTTTTCTTCCCTCTTTGACATGACCCTTTTCTGTTTTTCCCCTCTGGGGTGTGCTGTGGTCTTTGACCTCTTAAGTACTCTGAAAGGTAATTGGGTCAGTCATTGTTATTAAGTTTCCATCTTCATGGAGAAAAAATGTAGGTGATTCCTCCTGCCACCTCACTGAAGTCATTTGACAGGTATTAATTCTGTACATTACATTTGAAGAATACTTATCTGCATGTAGTGTGTTATAATTCATTTGTTATATTTCAGTTATGTCTTCTCAAGTCACCCAGGGCTTGTTACCAAAACCAGACATTGAAAATTCATATTGGAATATGCTACAGGTAAGGTGTACAATGTGTGGCATTGAGAATTTATACTTAGTCAAAGTTTTGGAATGTCTGGGGCAATATGAAGAGAAAAAAGATGTTATGATGCATATAACCAAACTGGAACAATCACCCATACAATATCCTTGCTGCCAAAAGAGGTTAAGGATATAAAAGATTTTGGAAATTTTTACTTGGAGTTACCTTGGAAGAACAATGTGATTCTGAATGCAAACACCAAAGGAAACCTTTTAAAAATACATATTTTCTGAAATGAAATTGAGAGCACCAGAGAAGTCACCTAGTCCATTGTGTAAATAAGTCTTTGGATGATTTAATGTAGGATTTAAGTTAAATGTTTGTAAAAATAAATCATTTAAAACACAAAGATGGAAATTGTGACTGAATTTGTAAATCCCTTAACCAAGTTTGAATTATTCCTTCACAGAAAAATATTCTTTCTATTTCCAGATGCTATAATTTTCATAAATGTGTTTGGTTTTATATTCAACCATATGGCTTTATAGGTATCAGAATAGGTGATTGGACACAACTTTACATGTGCAATGATATTAGAACTTGAACTAAAGGCTTTTCTATCTTCATTGATTACTAGAGTGCATATAATGAATAGAGAAGTCAGTGCTGTAAATCTAGGAATTTAAGAAAGGGTTAAATTCTAATAACCATTAGAGAACTTAGTTTTCATAGATAATGTATAAATTTCAGAAAGTCTTTGATAAAAGCTCAAATATTGTTATACCTCAGAAAATTCATGCTGTAGACAAGACAGATAAATGCAGTGAATGAGACACATCTTTCAAACCATTATTAAATCTTACTGAACATGAAAATACTCATATTGGGGAGGAGCCTTTCAGGTGTAATCAGAGTATGAGAGTCTTTAGTCAATTACCCAATGTCTGTATACATAAGAAAATCATTATTGTAGAGAAGCCTTACAAATGTAAAGAATGTGATAATGGCCCTGGCTGGTTTGGGTCAGTGGTTAGAGCTGCAGCCTTCAGACTGAAGGGTCCTGGGTTTGATTCTGGTCAAGGGCACATGCCTGGGTTACAAGCCTGATCCCCAGTAAGGGGCTTGCAGGAGGCAGCGAATCAATGATTTTCTCTCATCATTGATATTTCTGTCTCTCTCCCTCTCCCTTCCTCTCTGAAATCAATAAAAATATAGTAAAAAAAAAGAATATGATAATGTTTCTAAATTGCATTTCCATGTTATTCTACAATAGGCATTTGATACCGAAGAGAAGCCTTATAAATGTGGAGAATGTGGCAAAGCCTATAAATGGTATTCAAGCCTTACCAGTCATCAGAGACTACATTCTGGAGAGAAGCCTTATAAATGTAGGGAATGTGGCAAAGCCTTTAGCAAATCTTCGAGCCTTACCAGTCATCGGAGAATTCATTCTGGAGAGAAGCCTTATAAATGTAAAGAATGTGGCAAAACTTTTACCCAGAGCTCAAATCTTGCTCAACATCAGAAAATTCATTCTGGAGAGAAGCCTTATAAATGTGGAGAATGTGGCAAAGCCTTTATCTCAAGCTCACATCTGACTCGGCATCAGATGATTCATTCTGGAGAGAAGCCTTATAAATGTAGAGAATGTGGCTTTGCCTTTAACCGGTGTTCAACCCTTACTCGACATCAGAGAATTCATTCTGGAGAGAAGCCTTATAAGTGTAGAGAATGTGGTAAAGCCTTTATCCGGAGCTCAAATCTTACTCAACACCAGAGAATTCATTCTGGAGAGAAGCCTTATAAATGTAAAGAATGTGGCAAAGCCTTTATCTGGCCCTCACAACTTATGCAACATCAGAGAATTCATACTGGAGAGAAGCCTTAAAATGCAGAGAATGTGACTAAGCCTTTAACATTTCTTCAAGTCTCATGGACCATTAGAAAATTCATACTTGGAAGCCTTATAAATGTAGAGAATGTGGCAAAGCCTTTACCCACTGCTCAAATCTTACCAAACATGAGACTGCATACCTGAGAGAAGCTTTACAAATGTGAAGATTGTGACAAAGCCTTTAACCTCTGCTCTTCAATATTGGGGAATTCATACTGGATAGGAGCAATACAAATATAAAGAATATGGAAAAACCTTTAACCATTGCCCAAACCTCACTAAATATCAAGTAATTCATACCAGAGAGAACCATTACAAGTGTAGAGAATTTGGCAACACCTTTTCCCAGTGTTGGAACCATAGTCAATATCACATAATTCATGCCGGAGTAAAATGATACAAATTTAAAGAATGTGGCAAAACTTTTAACTATTTATCAAGTCTCACTGAACTTTAGTGAATTTATACTGAATAGAAACCATGCAAATATGAAGTCAATAACACTTTTCAAATATGCCTTTTAAATCAGAATACTTATTTTAGAGAATCCAGTAAGGAAAGTTATATGATTTTCTAGTATGAATGAAAATACCAAAGGCATGGATGTTTGAAAAAATGTAATTTCCTACACTGTACCCTTTTTATTATGACGGTATTTGTGATTTTTTGAAACACAAATAGTAATGTGATTTAATTCTCAATTCATTTGATGCTTCTGTAAATGCTTGTGATGTGTATTTGGACCAGTGGGTTTGTAATGCTTTGTAATGCGAATTGTCTTCTGTGCATTCTATTGAATTTCTTTCTCCCTAATCTGATGACTTTGGGTTTGACAATCTCTCATGGCAATTCCATTGTGTTTACATTCGTGTCTCATATAAAACCTACCATATGTTTTCCTTGTTCCATAGAATATGTGTGGACTTTATATATTCTCATTCATAAAATGTTTTATTTATTTATTTATTTATTTTTAAAAATATTTTTTTATTGACTTCAGAGAAGAAGGGAGAGGGAGAGAATAGATAGAAACATCAATGATGAGAGAGAATCATTGATCAGCTACGTCCTGCATGCCCACACTGGAGGATTGAGCCTGCAATCTGGACATGTGCCCTGACCAGGTATCAAACTATGATTCCTGGTTCATAGGTCAACACTCAACCCCTGAGCCATACCAACTGGGCAATAAAGTGTTCTAATTTAAATATGTTAACAGTGATGTGTAATGAATAAGGTATTAATATGCCATCAAAGTTAACGTTTCCCACCTCATTCAAGGTTTCAGGTATCAATGCAATGGAATGACATCATTAGCAATCCTTTACCCACAGACCTTAAACCTTAAATAAATGTGTAAAGAGTTTACCCATAATTTATATGTTTCCTTCCTTTTATCATACCTGCTGGGGACATTATGCTGGTTACAAAAACATATCTAGGAGTATTTTTGAAAGTTTAAGTAAAAAGTGTATGATGTTTCAGCATTGGCATTTATTTTGTGTAGCTAAAAAGTTTTGTACTGAACTCCCATGAAACCCTAGTGGACACAGACAAGAGTTTACAGTGTTCCAAGTGAATGTAAGTTTTTTATATGGCATCTCCAGCAGTCCTTGTGAACAGTAGTCTGTTTGTTTGTTTGTTTTGCACTACAGGGTCTTCATTTTGTATGCTCCTTATGTAAGACTTCTGAAGACCTAGCCAAACCTTGCTGATTTTGTTTAAGCTAAACAATCTGGACCTAGCTTGAGAACCCCAAGGCACTCCGCTTAGTGATTCTAAATTACACTTACACTCTGTGTACTGCCACTCTCTTCCTGCGTCCTGTCTTGTCCTGCCTGTGTTCGCCCTGCAGGCATGCTGTGTACTTTCTCCAGCCTTGTCAATTCTATACTTATATTTTTCCAGATTTACCGGTGGTCTTTGTGTGATTGCTATGCACTATCCAGTACCAGTGGGCTTTTCTTAACAAATGCCAATTTAACAAAATGCTTAAAAGTCTTATTAGAAGCCCTGTATTTGGAATTCTGCATCCTGATAACATTTTAATATATATATACCAGGTGTACCAGTTAATGCAGGTTTTTTTCAATAGATGGAGTTACACATAGGTTGATATATATGCTATTTGATATGTATGCTATTTTGTTGTATTGACAACAACCTTCAAAACTTCATGTCAAATTTGCTGAAGGTGTTAACATCATAGAGATTTTTTACGCTTAAAAATGTCGAATTTTGTGCCAAAATAGAGCATTTGCGGGAAATTTGAATTCATTATTTTGAAGAAAAGAGCTGCTGGAAGTTATCATATACTTTGGGAAGCTTATGGTGAACATGCTCCATCTGAAGATAGTTGTGAACACTGGTTAATGCTTTAAAAGTGATGATTTCGATGTGAAAGACTTTTTAAACAGGGGGCCAGTTCACTGTCCCTCAGACCGTTGGAGGGCCGGACTATAGTTTATAAAAAAACTATGAACAAATTTTTATGCACACTGCACATATCTTATTTTGAAGTAAAAAAACAAAACGGGAACAAATACAATATTTGTATTTGCATGTGGTCTGCGGGCCGTAGTTTGAGGATTCCTGCATTATTGAATGAAGGTGCGTGTCAAACTCAAAAACAACTTGCAGAAAAATTAAACATTGTTCAGCAAACAATTTGCGATCATTTACAAGCAATAGGAAAGATTTTAAAGGAAGGGAAATGGGTGCCACATCAACTGAACAAAAGACAATGGAAAACCGAAAAGTCATCAGTAAAATGTTGCTTCAACAGCATGATCCTGCATTATTGAATGAAGGTGCGTGTCAAACTCAAAAACAACTTGCAGAAAAATTAAACATTGTTCAGCAAACAATTTGCGATCATTTACAAGCAATAGGAAAGATTTTAAAGGAAGGGAAATGGGTGCCACATCAACTGAACAAAAGACAATGGAAAACCGAAAAGTCATCAGTAAAATGTTGCTTCAACAGCATGAAAGAAAGTCTTTTTTGCATCAAATTGTGACTGGTGATGAAAGTGGATTTATTTTGAGAATCCCAAATGCACAAAACAATGGGTTGATCCAGATCAACCATCAACATCCACTGCAAGGCCAAATCGCTTCATAAAGAAGACAATGCTCTGCGTTTGGTGGGACCAGGAAGGTGTGGTGTATTATGAGCTTCTAAAACCAGGTGAAACCGTTAATACTGA